TCATGTTCTGTGTCATAATAACAAGTCTCGCCGTTTAGCGTACATGTTCCGGGTTCTCCAAATGTTGCCACAGTAAGTGATCACCGACATATTGATTTGCCTCAAGAAGAAAACTGCTAATACCTGGTTTGAACAGCGTGTCACATTTCAATCTGGTCAATTGGTACAATATGACATTTGTAGATGATACGCCGTTGCCAACTTACACCGCCGGCCAACTTTTTACACCGTCGATCTCAGAAGAAGCGTGTCGCCATGGTCTCACACTTCATTCTCTGATGAAGCACGCGGACCGTCGAGGCACTCAGCTGGTGGTCAGCTCCAGTGGCGTCGACAACATACGTTTTGAGTCTGCGATAGAATCTCACCTTGACCTCTTGTTGATTGAAGGAACCAAGTACAGAGACCACTTCTGTTCCAGTTGTGTCCGACTGAAATCGGACGGTGTGGATCCTGAAACTGGCGAAGAATACATTAAATGTGAGTCCTCGTTCAATCATTTCTGCCTATACCACCACATCTCTTTCGTACCACTGACCAACATGTGACGTGTTGAACATCAGCGATACGGGCGGTGGTCACCGATGGCCTGACGATCGGGCACTGGCGCTGTAGCGCCTCGTCGGACCAACTGCGAGACATTGCCCATAACTTAGGCCACCAAATGCCAGAAGGACCTTGCACCAACAAGCTCGACAACATCAACGATCGATTCTGCCGGGATCACTTCCAGATACTCGGAAATCGATGTCGCGCTCAGCCTTGTTCGAAAACAGCAAAAACTGGTTCTGAGACTTGTGAAGACGTTGAGCACATCCAGGCATGGGCGGCGTTCAACGACAGGATTAAAGGGAACTTTTCCCTTACTTCGATCCTCAATCGACCGGGCTCAAACCTTCCTACCGACCCGACTGTCCATCTCGATGCCGACACAGCCCAAATCCAGAACCTAGAAAGTTTGCAGCATGCAGACGAGTCGCAAAGAGCACACGAAGCTGCACGCGACGGGGGCGAATCACAGGCCTCAGGCAAATACTTATTATCAAGAAGTCGAACACACAACGATCAGCTGATCGTCGCGCCCTGCGGCATCATATTAGCAAGAAAGACTTTCTACAACGCTGAATCTGTCAGCGCAGTCAAGGAAAGTGGGCTTTTACCTTCATCCTCTTCGTTAAGACGTGCGCTCACCCAGACCGATACTACAGGACTTCGTTGAAGAATCGTTTCCTCAACGCATGCCGGAGGTTGTCTTTTACGACAACGCTTGCAGGTTGACCGAACACATTTACGCCGGCCACGACTCATCACGTTGGGCTGGAACAGTGATCCCGGTGGATCCATTCCACCACCGCTTGCACGCTGAGTCCGACGAGTTTTGCAAACTCTTTACTGACCCAAAACTGTTTCCAGATATCCAAGAATCCGGCCGATGGATATTCAACGCTTCCGCTGCCGAATTGACGAACATATGGTATGGAGGGTTTGCCTCCATGTGTCGGAACATGCATTCATTAATTTACAACTTCTTTTTGGAAGAGATGGTGTACCTGAGGAATGCCTGGCTGACAAAAAAACTGGACAAAAGAATGGGGATGGAATATCTTGGGGAGGGCGTCTTGTAGTTTTCTTTCTGGAAATATCAAATAACGTGCTATGTGATATGATATGCTAAATGTTGTGATTTGCCTAACTAATAAATGAACCCTTGGGTGGCTTTTTTGTTGTACATGAACTCTTGGCTACATTGTGGCCATGAGTATTCCTCAAAGTAAGTATATATACACATGTGAGTAAATGCAATTGTTAGTCAATAAATGGAAGGACTTTTAGTATACATCCTCAAATACCACCTCAGCTTGCTCAATCATAAATGATTGCTTGCTTGGTCTTTGAATTTTTTGGGTGCATTAACTCTGGCTACATTGTTGCTGTTCATCCTCAAAGCTGCATGAACAGCAACAAGATGAACAGCATGAGATCAACTATGTATTCTGAGGTCAATTAACTTAACCTTAGAATACATCTTCACTCATCAGCTTATAACTAACCCCCCCTTGCCTTTGGTAGTTTTTCTGAACATGAACTGTGGGGTGGTTTGCTGTTCATCCTCAAAGCTGCATATATGGAACTGTAACTGCAATTATTATAAATAGAAGGACTTAACTTAGCTACATCCTCAAACTCTCCACAGCCAAAGTCTCCACAGCGCTTAATCAATCTCATAAAGGAAACCCTCCCTATGCTCTGCTCTTGGTAGCTTTTTACAGCACAGCCCCCAACTACTGGTCACTGGCAGGCCAGTACATCCGATGTCTCCAAAATGTTTTCAACAAAACTTCAATTGGTTTTCAGCATAACATCCATCTGCTATCAAGATGTTTTTGGTCAGTTACCAGCAAAATATGTCATACCACCAAAATTGAGATGATGTCATACAGCATCATAAACCTGTACAAACCTGCTCCTGTATTTCCCCACCAAGAATATATAGTTTATTAACCTTTGTGACATAAATTGACTGAGTTATTGAGGTTTGAAAAAAAAATCACGGACAAAAAATACTATTTTTGTACTATACCTAAGAATTGATTCTGGAATATCTTCCAGCTTCATCAATATACATACACAAAAAAATTGATATTCCTTTGAAAACATGT